TAAAATATTGTAATAAGAATGTGGATGATATAGAAAAAATTTTAATATCTTAAAATAATGTTCATTATATGGTTGGTTTTCTGTAGGCAATTAAGGTCTCAGTGAATCGTGAGTACATGAATTATAAAAGACGAGGTAGAGAATGAGGGGAAGGAGTTAAAGGAATAAGTTCAGTTAATTGAGCACTTGTTATATTCCAAGCACTGGATTGGGTTCTTTCCACATACTAACTTAAATAGTCAGTTTTACACCTTGAGTGTCTATTCAGAGAAATAAGAGGGAAATCCGTTTGAAATATTTACCTCCAAAAAATGATATGGTCTTTGGAATTTCATTTACAAATACACGCATGTGGTCAATTTAGATCTTAGATGGGAGAATAACAGTGTCAGAAGAAGCCTTGCAAACGAGGTCCAGAGGTTAGCTGAATTTCTCAAAATGAGTTTGTTGAACCTCTAACCCAGCCTAGCTTTGTCTGGTTTAGCAGGCTCTCTCTCATTTTTGTTCTGTTAATTGCTCTATATAATGCTTATGAATATGCATGCATTCAATATGAATTACTGAGAGGGAGAACACTTTGGATCGTAGTTGAGCTTACCCATTTGCAAAATGCTACCAAATCTTTAGATGAGAGACATCCAGAAGAAAATATCATCTTAATTGACTGATGTTTGCAGTACAAAGGAGTGCAGTTAGGGAGGAAAGAACCTGCATCTCTCTCCGTGCATAGTTTGGTAATAAATATGTGCCCTTCACAGTGCTTGCTCCTCAAATATTAATTGTCTTTATATGCTTTATATGCTCCTCAAATATTAATTGTCTTTCCTATTAGAAACAGTTGGTGTTCATATTTGGATAGAATGTTAACATGTTCCAAATCCTTGAAATCTTTCTTGAAATGTTACTTCTTTTGGGGTGTTAAGATGCAGAAAGAGTGGAAGGACATAAAGCCTCCCTTTGCATCCAGTCAGTAAAATGACCAAAGAAATAAATATAAAATATATTCTCTAACTGGTACCAATAAGCTGGAACTGTTCTCACAGTTAAATAAAATTCTGCATGACCTCCAATGCAATTTCTTTATTCATTGAACAAATATTTGTTGAGATCCCTCTCTGTGATAGGCACTGTGCTTATCCTTTAGATCCTGAAGTTTTTATATTTAATAGTTTGATTGTAATTAATTCATTAAGAAGTTCCCCTAAATGAGATCAGAGTTCAAGGGAACTCAAAGATATGGTTAAATGCAAGGTTATAATGTAAGGACCTAAACCTTGTTTTGGTAGCTTTACTTCATGCAAAGACATTTTTTAGACAAAGGCAAAGGCATTACCTTAAGACTCATGGAATCTAGTTTGAAAATAGGCAATCACAAAGGTATCAATTATATAATTTCCTATTCTTACCATATTTAACCTCCAATTGGAGGCAAGAATTTAAAGCCTCAGCAAATAATTCTTGAATATTCTGTCATTTTATACTTCAAGTGCTCTGAGCTTTCTAAGCCCTCACAACAGAAAACATTTCTGCACATTCTAGGATTCTCAAGACTCATGTAGTAAATGTAAAATTTTAAGCTGATATTGGTTTCCCACTAAGATAATTTTTTTCCAGTCTCCACTTCATATTATAAAATTTATGGCTGTCATGTAATATGACTGTCATGTCTTTTTTTAAGAATTTAATACTGCTGGATATGGAGAATTCAGTATATATTCTTACTAAGAAGACCTGTAATAATTAATATTTATATATTCTTACTTATAAGGCCTATAATAATTAACATTTAAATATTCAGGCCATTGAAATTAATAGGTTTTTTTGATATTTTGGAATAAAACTTTTTAAATGGCCTATTCTGTTTTATCCCCTGGCATCATTATTTGTTTTTATAACCAACAGCAAGCTAATTTTGTTGAATCCACATCTTTCACCATGAGATATCCATTAAAAGAATTGCAGTCCATGGGATTTATTAATGGAGTGCCTGAGAACCATATACCATCTTTGAGGGTTGCCTTTCACTTAAAATGTAGTGAAAGTCCATTTTCTTCTGGTAAAGCTCAACTCCTAGAATACTTAAAACAGAAAGAATGCTAACAAGTTTGATGTTTTACTATATACTTTTTCAAAAGTCAAAGAGCTTCCACATAGAGTGTACCACTCCATAGGCCCTAACTAGACCAATAAGGCAGGAATTGAGACATACTTATATGGTTAGGTGAGACTATGATGAAAAATAACATAGAATTAAGAGATACAGCACCCTTACATTCCAATCTTCGTTATGTCGCTAGCTCTGTGTGTGTGTGTGTGTGTGTGTGTGTGAACATGTTTCTTGAATAAATATTATCTCTGGATCTCGTTAACCCATAAATAGAATAAAGGGATTGGTTTGTAAACATTGCTATAATACTCGTCTAGCCCTAAAATTACAGATAAATGCTCCCAGAACTGATGGGGTAAGTTGACACATTCATTTTGGCACTTCAAATTCAGATAAATTATTCTTCTGGGACCTGGTAGTGGGTCTTCAATATATAGATGTGCTAGTTAGTGACTTAGTATTATTGCCTTGACTTGGGTCATATTATCAGCATGTGATTATAGTCGGTCTAAAAAAGAGACCAAATTCATAGTTGACAAGAGAGGCAATGCCCTTAGGTTGCTCAGTTCTTTGAAATCATGAGCACCCACCACAGTCAAAATGGGTTGTCAAGACACTGAATGCTTTGCTGCTTTTGAGGAAAACAGGTGCTTTCTAAACATGTTAGCCATGCAACCTGTTTAGAACCCTATACTTTTTGTAAGTCAAAAAGATGACAAAGTCAGTGTAAATGTATGAATTAGACTTTTTTAACCTGATGAAAAAACATGGATGAGATCTGTCCTTATCTAGGAGGGCATCCACACAGACACACCATTTCATGATGCAGTGTGGTTAGAAGAGATAATATGGAGGAAATCTACATTGGGTCAAATGAGTAAACAAAGTTTGCAGCTCAGAAATATGTCAAATCCCTGAGCAATTGGGGAAATTTGCTATCTTATTTTCATTGAATCGGCAGTGGACTCATATAAACTCCACTGAGAGGAGTATGTGCATACACATAGATTTGAAGAAAGCTTTCGTGTATGTCTCCACTTAAGTGTAAGTTCCTGTAGGGCAGTGACAGTACCTTTAGCTCTGGTTAGAGCACTGCCTGACACAACATGCCTGTTCGACATAGGTAAAGAAATGAACCTGAGGATCAAACAGTCCCCCATCTAATGCCAGGATCTTCCTCTGTTCCAATCCTTCTAGTTCTCCAGAGAGCTCATTCCCACACAAGGCAGTTTGGGGTACGGGACATAGCTCCTACTTACTGAACTCAAGTTTGTCTCTATCTAACATCCATTTGATGTAGAAGATGGTGGACTTGTGTTCTGCTAATGTTAACATGTAACAGGACTATTAGAATAAGTCACAATTGGATCCAAAAGGATGTCATCACAACATTCTGGTTCTTTCAATGGGTTTTTGGCCTGAATGGAATAGTCATTAAAGATTCTGTTGGGAAATGTTTTTCTTGAAGAATCCTTAACATCCCATCTTTTCTCACCTACTAATCTCTGCTTATATCCAGCTCTCAACCTCATAGAGGAAAAGTGCTGTATAGCAACTGCAGGTTCAGGGATGAATTTTCCAAGAACTTAGTGTAATGACAAGTTTATTTTGGTTCTGTAAAGCCCTGAGGGCCATGGTCACATGTGCTATATACGAATAATTATGAAAATGAAATATAAAATATCATTCCAGTTAATATTTCTATGCCAGAACTGTCACTTTATTGAAACAAACAAAAAATTTCCCATGATTTTCAATGACATTCATTTATTCATTCAATAAATGTGCATTGAGATCTTACTCTAGTTTAGCATTGTGTGTTTTCTATAGATCTTCACTTCATTATGTTTAATATCTTATATATGACACCTTAATGATAGTTTTATTTAGGTTCTTTTAAATGATAGGGCAAACCTCTAAAATGTTTTGTCTATTTATTTGTCCACATGGTAAAATGAAACTTTTAAATATCGGGGCTTGGAAAAAATATTTTAAATTTATATGTTATTCAAAATTGTACATAAATGTACCACTTGTAAATATGATTTGTATCTATACACATTCTTTTCCTTTGTTATTTGAGGAAATTATTTGCCTTATTATAATAATAAGTGTAAGGATTGGGAAGAGAACTATCCTAGACATTCTTAAGTGTTGTCAGGATTATTTCCCAGGTTCTACAAATCCCCCAAAATTGGATATTTAAAAATACTTGAATAATTTAACTTAAGATCATAAGAACAAATGGCTGCATTTGCAAGTCAGCTTAATGAAAATAAATGAAAAGTCTAATAGCTTCCTGAATAAAACAGTTCTGCTTCACTATCTTTCTTATTCACTGCATGAATAATTCTTCCTTCACAAAAAATGTGGTAAACAGGTAAAAAGTAGATCAAATAGAGACAGTTCACACTTTGTTCACTTTGAAGTCAAAGAGGTTAGAACTCAATTACAAATGCTTTTCCTTTGTTACATTATGCAAACTTGGAACTAGAGATTATAATATTTAGTGAAAATATTTCATATTTTAAGATGTGCATCTTCATCTCTCAAATAGCTTAAACAGCTGATCAATGTAGAAACAACAATCATATCACAAACTTACATTACAAACAACTACAAAATGTGAAAAACAATGTTTACAAATGGTAGCAAAGAATAAATTAATTTTCAGTGCACATAATTAGGTATATACAGGATAATTTAAAACCAAAGGGAGTGATTGCTAATGCTGAGCTCTCAGAAATCTCCATCAAAATATACATGTTACCCAAGAGAGAGTGATAAAAATAAATTGTGACACAAAAGCAGAATGTTGTCTCTCTTCTTATCCTCAAAACTTGGATGATAGCTCACCAAAATAATTTTTCCAAGTGTGCAAATGATGGAAAACTTTAATTCCAAAACCATTTCTCTAAATTACCAACAGATTTATATTCTTGATGCCTTTTCACGTGATCACAAGCCAAGCATGCATGTGATTCCCAAAATCGTGGAAGATTCACTGTGAAATCCTTCCTCCAGTTAAAGTAACTAAGGTATAACTTATTGTTTTTGTCAACTTCTTTCAGATACTTGGCTAGCTCACTGGGAGAGTTATAATCTTCCACATGAATGAATGAATCTGCTGGAATATAATTCTCATAATTTTCCCTAGATGGCCCCAGAACAACGGGTACAGAGCCAGCTAGAAAAGCATTGTAGAGCTTTTCTGTGATGTAATCTTTGTGGATTGAGTTTTCAAAAGAAAGATAAAATTTGCAAGTAGATATGGTAGGAATCAAATTTTTATCATTCACATACTCTCCAAATGCTTGCCCATAGGTATGGATTTCAATGCTTTTGCTTAGCTCATTGTAATACTTGACCCTTGCATGCTCAGGGTTCCAGTTACTTACAACCCAGCACACTAACTTCTCTTTGCTTGGCACTTCAAACACGAAGGGGTTTGTGCTCACCGTCAAGAAGCCGTAAGGCACTTGGATATCTGAGTCACGGCGGTAAGTCAGAGTCAAGTTGAACAGGTGTTCGATGCCACTCTTTTGGGGCGTGTGAGTTGGTGATTCCAAATTCATCCAAATCCATTTCTGGAAGGGTGGCCTAGCCTGCTGTGGTAAGTTAGTCAGATCCCAACTGATGTCTCGGTGGTGGATCAGAACTGCATGAGATTTGTTGTATAGAGAACGGTCTGTTGTGAGATGGCATCCTTGGATGTTGAACATTGCTTGGCAAGATGTAAGGTCAAAGGTCTGCCCAAATGGCCACACCCAAATCAGGATAGTAGTTTCATTAAAATAATCAGTTTTGGTGGAGAAGAAGTTTTTCATTTTCAGCACTGAGCTGGCTGACTCCATTGGACTGAAGATCCAGCTGTTGGTGGGCTTGATGTAAATGAGCAGACATGCCATGAAGCAGCCCAGGATAATGCAGACGATTAAAAATGGGCGGAGAATTCCTTTGGATGCTGATGTCATAATTTTTTCTGTGAAACAGAAAGAGAATAGAGGGGTACGTAGGGGTAGTGATGAAAAGTTAATCATAAATATAATTTGAGATTAACAGGTGATGCATCTCAAAATACACTTAATCACAAAATCAGTTGCATTTTCCTTTTTTAGTGTTACTAAACCATTAGAAAAATGGAGCTTTTATTAAGCCAAGAAACTGCTTTTGAAAGGAACTTTCCCCTGAACTCCATAAATAATGAGTCAGAATTTGTTATAAGTGTGCCAGCATATCTTCCCACCGGGTTACGTTTGTTTTCAATGCCATCCTTACCTATTATATTTTTATTTGTTTCTAGAAAGCTGGCACAAAGACAAGCATCACCGAGGCTATGACTAAAATTTTTAATACTTTGAAACCACATCATATCTGTGAACATTCCTTAGTTTATATAACTATTATTAATTATATATATAATTATTATAATTATTTACTAGTGCATTTTTGAGATTGTAATATAACTTGGCAGTTCAAATAGAATTCAATAGAAAACCAAACTTTTTTTTTAATTTTTATTTGTTTATTTATTTATTTTCAAACTTTTTTTTTTTTTAAAGTTTGTTTTGGTTTCTTGGTATAAGTTCATCTTCACTGCCAAAAATGCATCACAATAGTCCTCTTGTAAAAAAAAATGGCAGCTCTTGGTTTGATATCTGTAGTTTGTTTTGTTTTGTTTTTTAGTAGAGTACACTGATGCAAAAATTTGATAAAGTAAAATACTAGGTTGTGATAATAAAATGTTCTAGTGGCATTAGAAAAACATTCTCATGTGGTATCAGGGCATTAAAAAAAGTTTTTCCTTAGCATTAAAATATCATTAGTATAATAAAAATAAATGGATTCTCAAAAGAAAAGAATTATGTTTCATGGAGAACAATACTGATCTTGTGAATTATAGCAGATTCCTGCTAATAAGATGAATTAAGTCTTTTTGATTTTTTTTAATACAAGAGTCTTCAAGGTTTTTCTTCTTTGACATTCATGTCTTCTTACGAATATGAACACAAAGATAAAATATGTAGTATGTTTGCAAAACTGTCTTTTGATCAAATTCTTACTGATCCTCTGAAATTCATTATTCTTTTCACCAAAATAATGTGGTCTATCAATTTCATGTTCATTAAAATATTTTGAAATCTTGATCAAAAGCTAGTGTTGAAACATGAGAGGTTTCCTTCAAGGAAAAAGGGAGAAATTGTTCTTTATTTAATTATCTAAATTTATGTGAACATTTAAAAAAATCACATTTTTGTTGTTGTTGTTATGAAGTTTTTCTTAAAGCATATGACATTCCCTAGGTAGTTCCCTTGATTCCGTGAATCCAAAGATTCTGGATATTATATCCTGGAGCACTTCCAGAACAGAATTATTGGAATCAGTGACTGAGACTTACCATCAAATTTAACTTCAGCCCTGTCCAGTCAATAACAAAAGCAAAATAAAAAAGTGTCTACCAAATATGTTCAGAAACTATTAATTAACTCCTGAGCTACAGAGAAAATAGAAAGGACTATGAAAGAAATCTCAACTGTTTAGAACTAAATGACATTGTTGGCACTACATGCCGAATTTTGTGGAATGTGGCTAAAACAGTACTTTATTTAAAGGAAATTTACAGGTTTGCACAGTTTTTGGGAAATTAACAAAATTGCCAATTGAACAAGCTGGACAAAAAACAATGGGCCAAAGCTAAAGAAATAAGAAGTAAAAAATTAAGATAAGGATTGAAATCATTGAAATTCAGAGCAGAAATTTGAGAGGGTTGATAATATCACATAGTAACTATGTGAGGTGATGAATGAACTAAACTTACTATAATAATCATTTTGCAATATACACATATATCAAATCATTATGTGTACCCCTTAAACTAATATAAGTTATATGTCAATTATAACTCAATAAAACTGGAAAAAAAATACTAAAATAAACCTCACACAAGAATAATCAAGAAAAAGGGAAATTCAACTTATTTTATTGTTTTAAGAAATTCAGTTTAAATATAAAAAAAGAGCAAATGATTATGCAACAGAAAAAAAATAAGAAATGACTATATGGAGTAACTTTATGCTCAGGAATTTGAAAAACTGATGAAATGGATGGTTATATATCTGCACAAATAGAAAAATGCCAATTTTAATAATAAATTCTTATTAAACAAATAGCAATTAGTGAAGTGGAATTGATAAATGATAACTGAAAACAAACAGTAGACCTAGATAGCTTTGTAGGAGTGGTATCAATTGTTCAATGAATAGAAAATACTATTGTCATTTAAAAATATTCTAGAAAACAGAAAAATAAATAAAGAAGCTTAACTCATTATGTGAAGCCAATTATTAACCTATTACCAAAAGAAAATATAAAAAGTTAAAAAGGTCTATTTCCCTTATGAACACAGATACAGACATTGGCAATAAAGAGTATTAAAATAGGGGCGCCTGGGTGGCTCAGACGGTTAAGCGTCTGCCTTCGGCTCAGGTCATGACCCCAGGGTCCTGGGATCGAGTCCCGCATCGGGGTCCCTGCTCCTTGGGAGCCTGCTTCTCCCTCTGCTTCTCTCTCTCTGTCTCTCATGAATAAATAAATAAAAAATCTTAAAAAAAAAAAAGAGTATTAAAATATATTATGACACAATTCAAGAGTAGGTTTATGTAGGTTCATGTACATTTGATCCTACTTCATAAATTTAACTAGTTGGACAATCTTTCAATTCTTACAAGACTCTGGGATCTACAGACTGAGGAAAGTTACTGGAAGGATCTCTTTTTTTAATGGAGTAATACTAATCTTTAATGTACATGATTTGACTGAGCAATGAAGTGTTTTTCTCCTATGAGACCAATGTTTAATGATGTTTAGAAATGTTCTCATTGATGGGGTGCCTGGGTGGCTCAGTTGGTTAAGCATCTGACTCTTGATTTCAGCTCAGGTCATGATCTCAGGGTTGTGAGATTGAGTCACGCGTTGGGTTCCACACAGCCTGGAGCCTGTTTAAGATTCTCTATCTCCCTCTCTCTCTCTCTCCTTCTGCCCCTCCCCTCCACTCATTTGCACTCTCTCTCCCTCTCTTGAAAGAAAAAAAAAAAAGAGAGAGAGAGAGAGAAATGTTCTCATTGAAAAAGTTTTCTTAAGTCCTTTTTGAATTGAAACGCAATTGGCAAAAACTAAATAAATGATGTCAATTCATTGCAATAAGGTTACAACTTTAATAGCCCCTGTTCAGTAACTGCTCACTCTCAGCTAGGTCTTGTGCCAAGAACTTTGCACACATCATTTCCTTTAATCCTCATAGAACCTCTATCAAGAAAGTCTTTTATCACCTCTTCTTTACAGATGAAAAAACTGAGGGCTGGGGCACCTGGGTGCTTCAGTTGGTTAAATGTCTGCCTTTGGCTTAGGTCATGATCCCGGGGTTCTGGGATTGAGCCCCAGGTCCGGCTCCCTGCTCAGTAGGGAGTCTGCTTCTCCCTCTGCCCTTCCGCCTGCTCATGCTCTCTCTCAAATAAATAAATAAAATCTTAAAAAAGAAAAGAAAAGAAAAAACTGAAGGCCAGAGATATAAGTAGCTAGCTTAACCATTGGGTTATGCTCTCTCTTGCTTTCTACAATCTTCTTTGAACAAATAATACAAACATCAATTGTCTATTGAGGTGCATTTGGCACCTCAAGTTTTATTGTCTTGATTTCTCTGGGCTCTACCCTTTATACTTGAGGACTGTTTATCCATACATTAAATTTAGAGCAATTTCCCTTAATAGGAATACCTGATGCTTATATGATACTTAACTAGTGTCAAACATTGATCTTAGCACTTACGTTAACATACACACAAAAATATACACACAAACACATATATTACCTCATTGTAATCCCATTTTATTGGTAAAGAAACTGAGGCCTCTAATGGTTAAGAAACTTGCCCAGGGTCACCCAGTTCAGAAGTGGCAGAGCACACTTTCAAACAAACCCAGATCATTGGTTCCAGTTTGGGTCAAGAGCACTACATTTTATGTTCACTGATTCTCCAGGTTGCAGCTAGCAAACGTAATAACCAGAGTGCAAGCTCTATGAAGGGCTTTGTTTCTTCACTGCTTTATCCTCATCACCAGAATACAGTAGGTGTTTAATAAATGCTATATATATATATATATATATATATATATATATATATATATATATATTGCATGAATGAGTGGGTGGATTGCTGAGTCCTTACCATGTGCAAGGTAAAATCCTTGGTAACAAGATAAGCAAGAATGAGCCAAGTGTGAATGAAGAACTAGATACTTAGTTGCTTTCTATGTGCATTTAACATGTATATCTTTAGAGAATAACTACCATCACAGTTGACATACAGATATTTCTAAATATCTGTAATATGAGCAAAATCTCCTAGTTTTGCCTCTCTTTGTCATGTGTTAAGGTTGGCATCTATCTAGTACACTTTAATTCCATGACTCTTTTTTGGCCAAATGAAAAAAAAGGTCACTAGGCAAGAAACAATGTTCTTTTCATTGTGTGCCTCTCAGTTTTTCTGCTTCCTGGACATTTTGTATTGAGGTTCTTTTTGTTAACTCTCTGCACACCTCTCCCCTCAGCTTTTCATTGCTAACTGGGTCAATTACTGAACAGTAGGGGCAGTTACCCAGTAACCCCTGCTTTGTACAGAAACTGTTAGGAAAGTTTGCCTCTTGGGGCCTAATTGACATCCCCTTGACAGGAACCTTCAAACCTACTCCTCATAACTAAAATTCAGTTGGATACCCAACACATCTTGAACTGTTAATCTATACAACCTGTTTTTAAAGCACCCACGGCAGTGTTACTTTAGCTCCCACCAGAGAGAGCAATACATTTACAGCATAAAGCAAATTATAACAATAAATAGTATAATTAAAATGTCACAATTATTTTTGATAGTCTCAAGTACCATAAAAATATAAAGATATTAGAATTAAGAATTAACAA